TTTTTTAAAATAAATTATCAATAAATAAAAATAATATTATGCTAAAATATAAATTATTTATCATAAATCTAAGATAAATTTTAAATATAATTTATATGCTTAAACATAATATTTACTTGCATATATATATATATAGTTTATTATAAATTTTAATTATATAGGCTGAGCTGGCTTTTTTCCTACTCACCCACATTAGACCTCTAACTTGTCATCATAAAGTGAAACTTTAGGTGGATAACTCCCAATGGCTAGTAGGAATTCTTGTCACGAATTAATATTTTCACTTTTCAGAAATAATATCTTTACTAATCAATAATAATATTTAAACACAATCATCGAAATATATCTCTAAAATATCGTAGAGTATATTAACTAAATCTAGAAATAAAATCAATTATCTATATATATATATGAGACACTAGGTATCATTCTACCTATTTTCATTCTTAATTTAGACTTCTTTCTAACTAAAGCGTCAAAGTATCTTTATAGGTACTATCACCACCATCAATATTGGAGTAACTAGGAGATCATCTCTATTGTTAAAGCACTTGTAGATTTTGGTAAAAACATTTTGTACCCACCATGAACCCATTGTGAAACTATCCTTTGGCTATACATGATTTTCACTTGAAACTAAACAATGAATGACAACGTAGCAGGAACCTCTACAATAATAACTCAACCCCAGTTCAATCCCAAGCAACAACCTCTAGTTTTTGTCGTCGCAACTTGTTTGTGGAACTTGTGGCATCTATTACCACCACGAGCCCGCCTATCACATGCACCATTTAAAGTTGAATTATTATAGTGTGTGGAAGCAGTGGCGAATCGACATTATAATGAAAGTGGACATGCACCTCCTCACTTTAATTAAATTATTAGTGTGTTTAAAAATATTGTATTTTGCACCTCTTAAATTTATATATTGAACCCATTGGTGATTGTTTTTGACATTTATGTTTTATTCTTGGTATATATAATGATAATTATTTTTTTTTAAATTGTCCCCACTAACCTAAGATCTTGGGTATGCTATTGTGTGGAAGCCATGCAAAGGCAAAACAAAGAATCATTGGTAGCCCTTTATCGACAACACGAAACTGATTGCGCACATTACGAAGCTGCTCGCGTATGTTATGAACAAGAACTTCAGGCTCTACACTAGGAGAACAAGAACATTCGCTTAGAAATCAACGTCCCAACAATGAAGAAGTGCACAACCTCTAGATTGACTAGAGACACCCACGTCGTAGAACTCCTAGCCTGGTGAGAAGAATCATTCCTCTCCTAGAGTTCCCTCGGGATAGCAAGCAAATCATATTCATCTAAAGAAACATCTTCACTCATCAAGAACAATATTTTTGTTAATCAATAACAATATCTCTTCGCAATCACTAAAATATATATCTCTAAGATACTATGCAACATTATTTCTAAATCTAGATATAAAATCAAACACCTATATATGAGACATCAAGTATCATTCTACCTTAGTCTCATTCTTAACCTATATTAA